GCGGGAGGCACCGGGGGTGCGCAGGGGGCCGCGGCGTGGGTAGAGCCGGGGGTGCGGCTGGGAGCCGGGCTGCGGGGAGGCCCGCAGATGGTCTGGGGGTGCAGAGCGGCCCCTGGGGGCGCATCGGGGCCGCGGGACGCAGAGGGCAGGAGCCGGGCGCTGTGGGGCCGGGGGCACGGCCCGCTGCGCCGCGGCTCCTCGAGAGCCCGCGGTGGGGGTCAGCGGGGCAGCGCGGGCCGAGAGGTGACGGGGCGGGGCTGCGGGGCTGCGGGGCTGCGGACCGGCCCGGGATCCCGGGTGGCGGCGGGCCGGGCTCGCAGGAAGGCCGGGCTGGAGCAGGCCCCGCCGCCCGTTGCTAAGGCCGGGCCCCGCGTTGCTAGGGGGCGGGTCCGCTCCCGCGCAACTCTCGCGAGATCTGCCCGAGCGTTGCCTGGGAGACCGCGCAGCTGCCGTCGCCGCCATGGTGAGGAGCCGGGCTGGGCGGCGGGGGGTTCAGCCCTCAGCCTGGCGGCCGAGGGGCGCAGAGCCGGGCGTGGGAGCTCTGGGAACCGGAGCTGGACTGGGTGGGGTAGTGGGAGCGATGCCCGGGGGTACCTGTGGCTCGGTGCTGAAGGAAGCGTTGGTGTTCCTGTGCTCAGGCCTTCGCCCTGTGGGTGTGCCCTGGGGAGGGGTTCTGATCCCGGACCCGGTCCCGGTCCCGGTCCTGATCCCGGTCCTGGGCAGAACACAGCACCCGTTTCACCCCGCCATGGCAGCAGGTATGCTGTGCAGCCGGGCTGCGGGCACTGTGCAGCATAGCTTCCACTCGAGTGCTCACAACTCACGTGTTTTCTTTTCTTTTTGCAGGCACCCAAAAAGCAAGCTGGAAAAAAGGGGAAAGGGGGCAAAGCCCCAGCAGTGGTGGATGCCGTGTCCCTGGCAGAGATGAGCAAGGAGCAGGTGAGTGCTTCCCTTGCACCGTGGTGCCTGGCTGAGGCCCCAGGGACGACAGGTGGCAGTGGGATGTGGAGGACAGCAGACGGTGTTCATTCCATCGCTGACATCAGGGCTGGGTGTGTGGCCCCACGAAGGCTGCTCAGAGCTTTTCCTGGACAGAGTGGCCACCTCCAAGGGCCACGTCCTGCCCTTGCTTCTGCTGTCCTGTGGCACTCTGCTTTCCTGCCTTGTGCCCTCATTCATTTCCCCTCATCCCATAATCCTGTTCTCTTGTGCTGATCTCCTTCTAAGTGTGGAAATGTTCTGGCAAAGGTACCTCTGGTGAGAGTATTATTTGATAAGTGCTTTATGTTTTGTGGTGTTTTCCTGTAGAAAGTAAGCTGACCAATTCTATTAGAATCCGTGTTTCTCCCTGCATTTTTTGCTTCCATCTGGCTGTTCCCTCCTGTAACTGGAGCTCCTTTACCTTTCTGGTATGAGCAGCCTCTTCTCTGCAGGCTATTTTGCTGAAGCTCAACCCTCTGATCTCTCAGTCTACAGCTCTGTGCTTTGCAGCCTGCTGAACTCTCACCGTATCCCAAATCGTGCTGCTTTGGGGGTGGGAGGCGCCCCCATGGACGATGAGGACAGGCAGAGGCCAGAGCTGCCCAATGTGGGCCTGCTGCCCTGGATGTCCTCCAAACACAGGAGAAGATGGCACTGTTCTGGGGCACTTTGCTCTGCAGATAAGATCTTGCATGTCTCAGTGTTATTTAGCATCTGAGAATGTGAAATGGAATGCTGAACCCTGTCTGCTTATGATAGGAAGAGATCTTGTCACTCTTTTTCAGGGGTCATTTGTCAAATCCTGAGCACTTCCCTCCTTCTATTTTCCCTTTTCTGTCTCAATAAAGGCTGCCGTGTCCTCCAGGCTTGCAACAGAGCTCACCATTGATACCTC